CAAAGCATGCCCCCCCCCCGGCCTCACCTGGGCTCCCTCTAGGCATGGGGGCACATGCAGAGTAGCAGTGAAAGGTCTGGGTGTGCAGCTCTGAACATTCAATTTGACAAGCGTGCGTCCTGCCCACTCCCCTTTGCAGGGCAAAATCCTGGACATTTTTTGCCATTTTAAAAAGCCAGCCAGAGCTTTAACGTGAAAAAGGACAGACCAGAGCCTATTGGAGCCCCCAACCAGCCACTGGGTGCTTGGGGTGAGGAAAGGCTCTTTCTTCTGCAGGTATTGGGAGCTGGCTCCTGTCCAAGGTGGGTAGGGCTGGGGGGGGAAGCCAGTGGGGGGCCTCTGGAAGATCTCCCCTCCCTCCCAGCAGTGAGTGCTGATTCCTAGTAGCTGCAAGCTGCAGCCTGGGTTCTTCCCAGCAATGTTCAGGTGCCAGCCTGCCAGGTGAGCTAGGCTGGACTTTCTCACCATGACACCCCCTTTCACCTGCCAAAGCTTCTCCCACTTAGCTCCAGCCTGACTGGGCTTGCCCAGAAACTTCACCGTTCATGCTGCCTTTGTGGAGCGCTGCAGGGCAGGGTGCATAGGGAGGAGAGAAGAGTTCCTATCTAACTATTTCTGGTCATTGACAAATAAACCCCCATGGCTGGATTCCTGTGGCTCAGTGCAGAATGATTTTCCCCTGGGGGCAGGGCCAGGCTAGCACCAAGGAGGCCAGCCCTGCCTAGACCTGGGGCCCTGCACTGAACAAGCTAGTGCCGCAGCAGCCAGACACAAAACAGCTGAGAGATGTGAGCATCAGCTGGTTTCTACAGGCCCTGTCCAGATGTGGCAGCACTAAGAATTGAGCTGCCCTTCCCACAGCCAGGCAGGTGGGGGTGGTGCAAAGGGATGAGCTAGGGGGCCACTGTAGGACCAAACATTTTATTCAATCTCCGGGCAGCAGCCAGGCATGGTGAGCAGATTCCTAAATAAATAACCACAGCAAAATGTCAGTCACTACAGGGCCCAGGCCCCTGGGGCACAGCCTGCAGGAAGGGAGGTGCCCAGTAGTCGGCTCAGCCCTCCCCCCTCCCTTAAAGTGAATTTAGTGCTGGGGGGAAGGTGCACAGGGCAGCTGTGCAGATCAGCCTGCAGCAGCTGGCACACAGTGCAGTGAGCAGCACGCTGACCTCAGCCACTGGGGCTACAGCTGGCCAGACAGCAGGGGGAAGGGAGGAATCCCAGCTAAAATCTCAGCTGTGGCCCTTAGATCCTGCCACCTGATGACAGGGGGCAGGGAGGGGAGGCTAAGGCTCCAGCTGCCCCCTGGCAGCGTTGCTACAAACCCCTGCCCTGCAGAGCAGGAGCACCAGTTGGGATTCTGCCCTGGTTGTTACAGTCCCAGCAGACTCCGGCTGCCAAGGCCACAGCTAATTCCAATGGAATCTGCTGGTGCTGAATGCCCTGGCCCCCACAGGCCACAGCAGGGACTGGGGGAATGAAATTGGCTCAGGCACAGCCCGTGGCTAGAGCAGCCATGGACAAGGCCAGGAGAGTCAGGAATATGGAAAGGAGGGGAGGGAGGAGGGATAACTCACCCCTGGAAAGGGAGGGAGCCAATCTCCCTTCCTCCCCCTGAGGATTAATACAGCTGGAGGCCAGTGTGGCATGTAAATCCAGCACTGAAAGGTAAACAGCTCCAGGGAAAAGGTCAGAGACCAGCCCCCTCCCCATTCTGAAAAAACCCCCTTCCACTCAGCAGCCTGGCAAGGGCGCAGCAGCCAGTCCAGGAGCGAAGGGCCTGCCAGCAGCAGCATGCATTGCCCCGAGAGGAGCGCACTGCTTACCCTGGGGCAGTGCCTGCTGCAGCTTGAGTGCCCCAGTCAGGCAGACTGAGCAGGTGAGGGGCTTTCTCTGGCTCAGCCTAGGAAGCCCTGGGCCCCAGCTCCAGGGCACAGCAGGAACTGGGCTTCCTTACCCCCTCCCCTCCGTGGCTCAGGTTGGAGGAGTGGGGGAGGCATGGACTTGCCCCACTTCAGCACTGGTCTTTGGCTCAGCTCATCAGGAGCCCAGCAGGGTGGGAGAGGTTGAGGCTCAGTGCCCCTGAGAACACTGCTTGTGGGCATCCTTGGGCACACTCAGGCCAAGCCTGCTCCAGCTACTGACCAGCAATTGGACCATACACCCCATCAGCAACAGAATTCTAGAGCCTGGGGGGGGCCCCCAGCGCATGAGCCAGCTAGTGCCCAGGGCAATGCCAGGCCCCTGCTGCTCTCCTGCAAGAGCCTGCCAGCAAGGGAGCTCAGTGGAACCCGCTGTAACCCCACCCGGGGGTTAGGGCCCCACCACAACGATGCAGCACATGCCAGCACAGCCCAGCTCACCCTGTGCTGGAAACTAGCCCCTGCCTCCCATGCTACCAGGCTCTGCCCAGCTCTCCTGCCCACCAGGATGGTTCCCTGGGCCGGGCCGGGCCAGGCCAGCCAGCAAGTGGCCAACTGTCTCTGTGTCTCAGCCCAGCCAGAAGGACTCCATGCCACAGCCTGTGCTGAGGCTGCAGACCAAGGTGCCAACGGATGGGGCACTGGTTGTGGAGCCTTGTCCCACTGAGGACAGGCCTCGGCCTACCAGACTCAGCTTACACAGGGCCCACCCTGCAGACGTGTCCGCTCCTGGCACTAGGGAGCTTCCAGTTCAACATGACCAGGGGGTTTGTTCCAGGAGCTGGGAAGGACCCAGCTCAGAGCATGGCTAGGGCTGCCCCACCTCATTCCTGATGTCCACGACCCACTCGGCTTAGCGGGTACTCTGCAGCAAGGTCTGATTGTCCCACTGTGTCTGGGGGGCCTTGGGGAGCTGCCCTCGTGCCAGGACCTGTGGGGCAGCCCCAATCACATCCATTTCCCCAGACTCAGGCTTCCCCTTGCCAGAGGGCTTGTGGCCTTGCTGCGATGCATCAGGGCTCCGCGGAGGGACACTGGCACTTGGCTGGGTGCCCTGAGCAGCTCCACCCTGCCCAGGGGCTCCATGCTGAGGCCCAGAGCTGTCCACTGGTCCCCCTTGGGCACTGTCCCGTGCAGCCCCTTTCCTCCCCCCCAGCCGGTCTGCAGTGGCTCCAGGCCCCTTGCTCTGTGTCTCGGGTGCTGGGGGTGCTCCCAGGACAGCATCCTGTCCAGATCTCTGAGGCTGCTCCCACCAGTTTGCCCTGGCCCAGGGCAGCTTGGCAGAGTGCGTTTTGCGCAGCATCTCCTGCCTGAACTCGTGGTTGATCCCACTCTTGTACTTCTGCCCCCCGAAGCCAGGCACAGGCCCCTTCCTGCTCTTCAGTGCCCGAGGGTCGGTCCCGATGTCAGCAGTGATGTTGGTGTAGAGGGGATGCAGCTCCTTGGCCAGCAGCGTGTAGGTGAGCGAGTTCATGCCGTCCTGCGTCCACGTCCTCTGTGTCCGGATCAGTAGGTCAAACCTGCAAGGTGGGGGAGAAGTCAGTGCGGGGGCCCGGCCCAGGCCTCACCCTCCAGGAGCCTTCTCATCAGTCCAGTCAATGTGACCTCCCCACCATGCGGGGGGGCCGGGGGGTGAGGGAGCACAGCGCACTCACCGATGGGGATTCTCCTCGTTGCCCTGGTCGCCTTTGTGCTTCACCATCTTGTAGTGGCCGACCGAGACGGGAGGGCGCGCGATCTTCATGCCAGCCAGACGCACCCTGGGGACAGGAGAGCACGTGTCAGAGCAGCGCCCATCCGCCCGTGCTCACCGCCATGGCAACGGGCAGCAGGCTGCAGGACTTGGCTCCAGCTGCGCACAAGGTGCCAGGCAGCCCCTCCTTGAGGCCTGGGGACAGCAGAGGAGCTGTGCTCCTGCTGTGGGAAGAGCCCTGTCGCCGGCTACCAAGGAGCCAGTTCTCCACCCTTGGCACCCAGGAGCCAGCTGCACCTGTGCAGGCTGCAGGCCCTGGATCCGCTCACTAGTCCAGAAGGGCCAGGTCAGCCCCAGCAGAGCACAGCCGCAAGGGACCACACGCTTGCTCCACCAGGGCACCAGGCAGAGTGCTTCAGCCTCACCCCACCAGCTCGGCTACAGCTACAGCCCCACCACGCTCCCATGGTGCTGGACCTACCTGAGCTTGGCTGCAATGGCCCTGTGTGAGAAATGAACATGCAAAGAGTCCCGAGAGCCAGGAGCGGAGAAAAGAGAGAGATGGTGAGAGAAGGCCAGGGCCACAGGGGGGCGCACCAGGCCAATGAGAAAGCCACAGACCACTAGGGGTGAGGGAGAATGAAGGCCAATGAGCCACACACCACCGGTGAGGAGGGAGCCAGGGCCAATGAGCCACCGACCACCAGGGAGGGGGAAGCACAGCAGAAGCAAGAGCCACAGACCATGGGGAGGGAGTAGTGTACAAGGACCAATGAGACAGAGCCATGGACCACAGTGGTGCTGACAATGAGACAGGGTTGGTGGGACGCGGGGACAGGGCCAGAGGAGCACTACAAGCTCAGCCTCTGCTGGAGCCCAGCTTGTGAAGTGGGGTACCCCAGAAAGACGTGCTGCCACCAGGAGCTGCCAGCCAGAGATGCCGCTGCCAGCCCCTTGCCCCAGGCTAGAACAGAGCCCACAAACTCCTTGCCATCAGCAACACCAGCCCTGCAGCGAGCAGGCCCTGCCTGAGAGCTCTGTGGCTGCACCAGCCACGGCGGGCCCTGGCACACTGCCCCAGGGCCAAGGATAGCAGCAGAGAAGCCTCCCAGCCTAGAGGGCAGAGAGGAGGCTCCCAGCCTAGAGGGCAGATGCTCAGGGAGCCAGCAGCTGAAGGCTGCAGCCTGAGGCCAAAGGAACAAAAGGCAGGATGGGCCGAGCACAGTCTCCGCCTTGGTGTGCACTGAGGTGAGGCACCCCAGTGGGGCAGGGCAGCATCACACCTCCTGCACAGGGCAGCATGACTGATCCCAAAGAATAGGACAGGTTTCTGGCACAAGGTGGCTTGCACCAGACAAAGTGCCTGATGCCCGCCCCCTAGGCCAGCTACTCCCCTCAACTTGTTAATGTTCCCCGAGACAAAAACAGCATGAGCAGGGGGTGTGGGCCAAGTCCTGCTCCCCAACCCCATGGCTCAGCGCAGAGCAGCTGGGATTCCCTGGCCCCCCAATGCTCTGCATGGCCAGCTGTGCGGGCGCTGGGCCTGTGTCTAGGCAGAGGAGGAAGTGCAGAGAGGGTGGGGACAAATCTGCTAGTCATACACTGAGCACAGCAGAGAGGGTGAGAGCCAGGGCACAGGTGCAGGGCAGGAGCTGGAGGCGACTCACCTGGTGGCAATGTCATCGTCCTCCCCGCCCCAGCCCCAGTACTCGTTGGGGAAGCCGTTAATTTTCAAATACTGATTTGGGGTGAGCGCCGACACACCGCCGAAGTACTGGGCATACGGGAGGCTGGAGGAGAGAAGAGAAGAATGACTGTGATGGCCTGAGGTGGGATCAGGGCTAAGAGATCACCCCCAGCATCTCCGCCCCTCAGGGAACCAATCCAGAGCCAGTCCCTGCTCTGGGCATGCTGGCTCAGGCTGGCATTCTAGGGAAGGATGTGCAGCTGCAATAAGCCATGGTTCTGACCAGCACAGCTGGTATTAACTGACCATGACACCAGGCGTGGAAAAGCAGGGAGTTGCAAGGGCAGGATCTAGGGCACTGACAGGGTGACTGAGATTGGTACAGCAGGGGGTCACAGAGGCTCTGCCAGGACATCCCCAGAGTGGAACAGCGGTGGGTGGGGGAGGCCGGCAGGGCAACCCACGTGCAGAACAATAGGACTGAGGAACACCTGCCCGTGGTGGCTGCTGTTTTCAGTCAGATTCTCTGCCATGGTGTCCAGCGACGAGCAGTCAGCCCGTGTGGCAGGAGGCCGGGGGCAGAAGGGTGCCACCTCACCTGTAGCCAAACTTGTTCATGGCGATGGAGACGTGCTTGGGGCTCCAGGGGTCGCAGGTGTACAGGTTGTGGTCGTTCTCAGGGATGAGGTCAACGTCGTGCAGGAAGAGGCAGTCCCACTCCTCATCCTTCAGAGCCTCCTTCACCCCCACGTTCAGCAGCTTGGCCCGGTTGAAGGTGGCGTTCCCAGCCTGCAGCAGGACAGTGCAAGGAGCTCAGACAGGGCAGGTGCACCGGGCCAGTGGGGATGCCCAGTACAGTGCCCCAGCCTGGCACAGGATGAGCGCAAACCCACCTGGTGGATGACATAGATGCCATACTGCAGCTGCTGGCGCTGCAGGAAGGGGTGCAGGTAGTAGAGGAGGTGGCGGAGGTGTGTCTCCCGGTTGCGGTGGGGGATGATCACAGCCGTACGGGAGCGGGCCTCGCAGGTCAAGGGCTGGCATCTGCCCCCTTCCTTCACGGCCGGGTTCTTCTCTAAAATCTGCTTCAGCGTCGGCGTCTGACTGAAGCTGACAGTCAGGGGGCCAACTGCCAGGGCAATAGCATGGGTGGCATCAGGAACAGACACACCCACAGCCCATCAGACTGTCTAAGGGTCTGCAGCCCCAGAGCCTACCCAGCTGAGGCCCATACCACTCTCCAACCCCAACACCTACTTACCCAGGCCACACCTCAGCTCCCTCCACACTGCAGCCCCAGGGCCTGCCCACACACCCAGAGACGTCAGCACCAGCATCTCCATCCAAACATACTACACAGCCTCTCTGCTAACGTCCATCTTGCCCCCACCAGCACTGGCCACTTGGACCCCTCAGCTCACATGGCTACTGCCCCAAACGTCTCCCCACGTGGCCACTGTTAAGGCATGCCCCTCCACCACACTCAGCAGGCCCGGGGTTGGAGACTCACTTGGTCGGCTGCCAGAGAGCAACCTGCCAGGCAGGCTCAGGCAGACCTGGGTAATGCCTGAGGGGACCTTATATCACATGGGGGAAGCACAAGGCTCCAGAGAGTGAACGGCTGCTGTGAGCCCCGTTGAATAACCTTCAGGTTCATCCTTCAGCAGACAGCCAGGCCATGCGCCCCCAACATCCAGCTCTGCCTCCCTCCAACAGCAGCTGCATGGGGGCAAGGGTCCAGGATTTCTCCAGCTCTCGCCTTTCCCTGCCAGAGCCAGCGTACTGGGGTAATTCACACCAAGAGGAGCCCAAGCTAAGTCCTTTGGAGCTGCAAGCAGTTCCGGGAGCAGGGGAATACCCTGGGATTCAAAGTCCCTCCCGCACCCACAGCCCCAAAGCTCTATGTAGCCACCTCTGGGGAGAAGGCCAATGTCCAGCCAGGACAGAGCACTGCACTGCACAGAGGGGCACTAAACTAGCCAAGGACCCCAGCACACCCCTGTGAAGCAATGCAGAGCAGACAGGCCTGCAGAGTTACAGCTTATCTAGGAGACAGGCAGTCCCCGTGCAGGGCTCCATCAGCCCTCCCAAGGACAGAGTGTTGCTGTGCCGGCTGGGCTATAGAAGGATGTCAAAGCTGGGACTCCCATGCCTACATCCAGTTCTGGGTCCCCCCCCACTATAGAAAGGATGTGGACACATTGGGGAGGGTCCAGCAGAAGGCAACGAAAATGATTAGGGGGCTGGAGCGCATGACCTATGAGGAGAGGCTGAGGGATTTGGGTTTGTTTAGTCTACAGAAGAGAGGTGCGAGGGGGGATTTGATAGCAGCCTTCAACTCCCTGCAGGGATGTTCCAAAGAGGATGGAGAAAAGCTGTTCTCAGTAGTGATGGATGGCAGAACAAGGAGCAATGTCTCAAGTTGCAGTGTGAGCCACCCGGCCCAGGCTGGTCCCTGCTTCCTTCCACTCAGACTGGCACAAGGTTCTCTCCTGACCTTCCTCTGATGGGAGACAGTCCAGGACTCCAAAGCTCTCTCCATGTTTAAATATGCAAGTGCTCTGACACACCTCTTAGTATCTGGAGTCAGCGCTATGCAGGAGCTGAATGCCCCGGCAGCTCTGTGGTACACAGGGTCATGCTGCTGGGGGGCCAGAGGCAAACTTCAACCACATGCGCAAAGGGCGTGTCTGCTGCCCTTCCCAGACCTCTTCCCCAGAACCTCTTTCCCCTTGACACAGAGCTACAAGACAAGACAGAAGCAGAGCAGCTGGAGGGCAGGAGTCTTGTGTAGCATGTAACCACTTGACCTTCTGAAGACACAGCACAGCCATTCCCCCCTGGTCCTGTCCTGCCTACAAATGTGCGACCCACCTCCCCACACCTTGCCTCTGGGGTGCTCACTCCCTATCACAGCTTGTTCTGCCCCCACTGATGAGGGATGGGTTCTTCCTGCTGGAAAATCATGGACTCGATCAAAAGCCACTTTGGCTTGTGCCTGACAAATGATGCTACAGAAAGGCTGAGTGAACCCCACTCCACTGTCCCTCAGGGCTCCCTGTCTGCACCCCACCGAGTCCCCTCCCCCTTCTCCTCTGCAGGGCTCCCAGCCTGTGCCCATCGATCCCTGCCAGGGCTCTCTGCCTCTTCCTCCCCAATCCTCTACCGCCCTAATGGGCTCCTCCTCTTGCCCCTCACCCAGGGTACAACTTACTGAGGTAGGGCGAGCGCTCAGGACAATAGGGCAGGGACCCTGTGGGGCCACCTCCTGGATGCAGCCGGGGCAGGAGGCGGCTCAGGTTGGTGTACACATCGTGGGTGCGGGAGTAGTCGAAGACAGGGTTCGTGTCACGGCCAAATATAGAGGTCAGGTTCCGGAAGCCGCCAAAGGAGAAGTACACCATGAAGGCAAACTGGAAGCCGATGAGCAGGGCCAAGGTACAGGGCCGATCCAAGAGTCTCCGGATCATGATGCCAGGAGAAAGCTCTCCTTCCCTGCAAGCAGCGCCAGGTAGCGTCTCCAGTTAGTGCTGTCAAGACACACACAGCCACACATTAACTGCGTGAGGTGTCATTTGTGGGATTGCCCTAGGAAGTTGCCCTGGGAAGTAGCATGCAGCTCCCCAACTCCTCTGGGGAAGCACACACCTGGTATTACCCAGCAGAGCTGGTTGGCCACGGGGAACAGGCTAGTCTCTGTGGTTTAGCTGGAGAAATCAGCTTGTGACATGAACATGGCCAAGCCTTCCCCCTCTTGCGCAGCAGGTGTGCAGTACAGCCTGTTCCCTTCCCGGCCCAGGAACCGGCTGGCAAATGCCATTAAGAATTACAGGCCCTAGTGGAGATCTGCCCTCCCATCAAAGTGCTCTGTGAACTCTCACTGGCATTTGGACAGCACCTTTCAGCCTGCGGGAAGGATACCCAAAATCTGCTCCTCCCCCCGCTAACCTTGGGGAGATGCAGCCACGTCTGGGGTAGAAAGCAGCAGCAGTTCAGAGAAAGGAGTGAAACAATCCATATTGCAGCTGCAGGGAGAGTGGAGGAAAGTGCAACAGAAATGCCTGCTTCTGAGTCTGGACAGGGACAGACTTTCATGAGAAGTGACATCAGATTAGCAAAGATTCATGGGTCCCCGAGATCCTCTAGCACCAGGCTGGGGCACCGAATCAGTCAGTCACTCCTTCCTCAGAGGAACAGTTTCATGGCTTGCACAGAACCATTCTGCATTGGCAGGAGACAGTCTGGCTGATCCACCATCTCCCGCTCCTCAAGGGAACTGCATCTCCTCCCCGTGTGTATCGGCTCCTGGCCCACCCCTCTCCCTCTGGATCAGAGG